CCCGCCCCCACTCACCCGTGCTGCTTCCTCCTCGCCCTGTATCGCTGCCCAGATCTTGGCCTCAGTCCTCAGGGCTTTTCCAACGGCCTTCAACTTGTGTCTCGACAGTTGACCTGCCCGCCGAAATTGAGCGGCGTCCATTCCCTTTCACTTTCTTGTGCGCATGCACCTGCCACTCTCTTCGCCTTGACGTTGGACCCCCTTGCCTCCGGCTCGCGTACTCACTCGGCCGAGATGCCACCTCCACACCAGACAACTCCGTCGCCAGCATCCCCGCCTCACGGGCCCTTTGTTCCTTCATCGCCATGCTCCCGGAGCTGCAGCTTCTATTCCTCGAACGTGCGTCCACACTCTCCCTTCGCCGTCTCCTTCCGCTCTCCCCCCCGCTCCTCCTCCCCCTCCTCCTCGGACCGATGTGGCTCCCCTACCCACTGACGCCCTGTCGTCCTCGCTTGGCACTTTTAGATATGGACCTCTTCCCGTGGGCCACGGAGTTCCTGCCTCTGGTGTTGCCCCACCTGCCTCAATTGCAGGAGCTCCGTCTCGATGGTATGCACCATGCTTCCGTTCACACACGCACACGCGCCCCCCCCCCCCTCCTCCCCCCTTTTCGTCCCCCTGAATATGTTGTCCCTTCTTGATCTTGCTGACCAGTCGATGAAATCCCCCCTCCCCCCCCCCCCGAACAAACACATCGTCATCTCCGCTCAGGCAACACCTGCACAGACATCGAGGTTGCCAGCATAGCCTACCAGCTCCATGGCAAGCCTCTCAGCCTCCTCTCTCTCCGAGGTAGTTCCCCTCCCATTTTGCCCCTTCCCTCCCCCCCTCCCCTTTCGCGTCTCCCCCTCTCTTTTCTCCTCTCTCCAGCCTCTCTAGTGCCGAGCCGACAGGGCACTTTCTTCTCTTTCCTCACTCTCCCCCCTCCTGCGCAGGCAATCCAATCTCCCTGAACCCCGATCTTGCTCCCTCCACTCCCCTGCTTGTCCAGTACCTGGACCTTTCAGGTACGTACTGTGGCAGACTACCAGGCTATGTCCCTCCCCCCTTCCCTCCCCGCCATTTCCGCTCGCTTCCATTGACCATGCTCCACGGTTTCTGCTTCCTCGCCCGCCCTCGGCATTCAGAGTCAGGTCCTCTCTCCATTGGCCACCTATCGAGCTACTTCTTCCCAGGCACCTTGGTCCACCTGAGGCTCGTCTGTGCGTCGCCATCCGATGGTCCTGGCCCCCCGCTTGTCTTTCCCACCCTGCGCAGGATCTCACCGTTTTTTTTCTTCCCTTGGATCAGCTTCGAGCCTTGTCGAGATGCCGCCTGGACTTCGGTCGCCTGGCTTCCCTGCGCTTCGGATCCTGGAACTGTCCCATGGTGCGCTCTCTTTTCGCGTTCCCCCTCTGCTGTCTTGCGTGCGCACATATAGGCGCAGACGCAGATACACACACGCACACGCACACGCACACGCACACACACACGCACACGCACACGCACACGCACACGCACACGCACACACACACATACTCACCTCTGGAACTATCTCCAGTGCCTTTGCCCTCGATTACCACATCCCTCACGCATCTGCTCGGTCCAAATCTCCTTGTTCTGGATTTGTCATGTTCGTGGCCGATCACTCGCTTATGCCCGCTTTTTCATGCCCGCTCCCTTGTGTTAGTATCCTGACACACACACACACACTTATCCAACAATCAGTCTGCAACCTGATCCCCGATGACCTGGCCCGATTGGCTCTCGAAAGTCGTCAACTCGGCAATCTGGCCTACCTGGACCTCTCCTGTGCGATCACCCTTTCGGTCAGCTTTCTTCCCACAGCGTGCCAGCGCCGCCTGATGCTGCCCCGTATCTGACCCTTCCCCCCTTGTTCTCAAACTACGTAACATGGCCGATGCAGCCAATCCCCTGGTCACCCTCGATGCGCTGACGACCTTCTTCCAGCTGTCCTTCACTCACCTGCGCCACTTGCTGGTGTTGTTTGTTGATGGTATGGCCCCGATGCCCATCTCCTCTTCTCTCCCTCTTCCCGCCCCTCCACCGCCATCACTCACCCGAATAACCGGTTGTCCCCCCCCCCTCCTCCCCTCTTCCTCCCCAACCAGCGCTGTCCATCCCTGCGCCGGCTGTTGTACAGGCACTCCTCTCTTCAGTCCTTCCGCCCCTGCTCTGGATTTCCTTCCAATCCGAGAGCCCCCTTTGTGCATTCCCCTCAACCGATGCGGCCGAGCCCCACATCACCTCTCTCCTTCAAACTCTCATGCTCCCGGCACACTTTGGTCGGAACCTGGCCGGCCTACTGGGCTCCGCTCTGGAAAGTCCGCTGGCCGGCCTCGCCCCATGGGCCACCCGCCTCGGGGCCTTCCTGGCCGATTTGCCCAGGCAGGCATCCGCCCTGGTGGGCTTCTCAATGGCAAACGAGCCCGGCAGGCTGCCCCACATCCGGCACCTGGAGATCTCCCATCCAGGCCAATTGCGTCCGATGGATCCCGGGGGGGCACCCATCATCCCCCCCAAGGCCCTTCCGGGCGCCGGGCAGCCGACTGTCACTTCGACAACTGCCACTTCCGACAACGGCGTCAGTGGCATCACCGATGAGGTCTGCACGGGCAGCTGCAGCCGTTCCGACGAAGCACCCCCTGTCGACCTGTATGTGCCTCGATTATTTTGTTCTTCGCTCTTCCTTTTCTGCCCCCCTTCCCCCCCCCCTGTCTTTCAATTGCTCGGGTTGCCCCTGCCCCGATCGCGCATCTCTTTCGGTTTCTTTCCCTCCCGGCGACTTACACCCCGCACACATGCGCAGGACACACAATCGCACCTCCAGCCCCCTGGCGCCGGCGCCAAGTCCAGCGCGATTCCAGCCCTGCCACCGCATGGCACAGTCGCCCTTCTCTCATCCCGGGCCGGGAGGGGGATCCCTGCGCAGCCGCAGCGTCTCGCCCTCCCCCTCGTTGTCCTTTTCTTCGTCGTCCTCCTCCTCCTCCTCCCCCAGGTCGACCCCCCCGCCGGTGGGGTCCTCCCCGGAGCCGGCGTCCGTGGAGGAGGAGGGCGATGAAGTGGGCTTCCCCTCGCCGGTGTGCATGTGGCCGGCCCTTTCGGAGACGCCCCTTCCGGCACAGGTGCCGGCCCTCTGCGCGTTGGATGCCCAAGTCCCGGCAGCCGGCTGTGCCAAGGCCCCGGCCGCCAGGTGTGGCAGGACCCCGACTGCCGGTGATGACAGGCCTCCTTCCCCGACGACGGCGGCCATGGCCACCAGCCGATCGCCCTCGATGTTTTGCCTCCCCCCCTCGTTGGAGGAGGGGCCACCGGCGGTGCCGCCCCCCCTGCCGGGCTGTCCTCCAGCGGCGATGGGCCTGGCCCCGCGGTCGGGCCACCGAAAGCTGGGCCTCTGCATTGGCATCAATGAGTACCAGCACTTCCCGCCACTTGGCTCGGCGGCCAATGACGCCTACCGCATTGGTCGGCGCTTTGAGGAGCTCGGCTGGTCCATCCGATATGTGATTGGCCTGGCCGGGTCATCGGGGCCCGGGGCCGGGGCCGGGGCCGGGGCCGCCAGCACCGGGGGGGCCGATGGTCCTCTGCCTCCTCGGCCGAATGCCGACTCGGGCTCTGCCACCCCGGCGGATGGTGGCTGGTCCGACACCACCGAGCCGATCTTCGACTATTTGCCCCCGGCGGCCGAGCTGCCGGTCGATGAGTTTGGCCGGATTCGCGGCGGCCCGGTCTCCACGCGACGCCTGCGCGCGGCGCTGTCCTGCCTGAGCCGGACCATTGCCACTTCGCCCGAGCCGTGCATTGTCTTTGTCTTCATCGCGGCGCATGGCTGCATGAACAGCAATGTCACCTATGTCCTGGGCTCGGAATGCCAATTCGACCGAGCATACCGTCTGGACCCGGCTGGCCTGATGCCGGTGGGGTTTGTGATGGGCTGCTTCCGTCACGATGCCAGCCAGTTGACCTTTGGCTTGTCGATTCTGGACATCTGCCAGACCCCGGCCCCGGTGAGCTGGCCACCGACCGAAAGGGGGCTCAGTGGTGGGCTGCTGCAGGGGCCCGGGGCCGGCCGGGCGCGCCTCATGCGAGCCTCATGGCCACCGACGGCGCCCTCGTCCGCGGGCCGGGGGGAGGCAGCCCGGCGGCACTTTGTCCGTGAGGAGGGGAGTGTGCGCTTGGCGGCCGGGGGCCGGCCCGCCTCGCCGCCCCTGCCGGCCCAATCGTCGCCGGGTCCCTTGTCTGCCGGTACTCGAGCCGAGGGGCTTCGCCTGTCGCAGAGCCTGGCGGCCTACTTCCAGCGCCGTTGGCCGGAGGCCGTGGCCCTGCCCCCGCAGAATATGGTTCTCTTTTACAGCTGCCTGCCGAAGGCCTTCTCGTACGAGCTATCCAAGCAAGAGCACAGCATCTTCACGGTGGTCCTGCTTGAATACCTGTTCCAGCGTCGACGGTGCATCTTCTTCGTTTTGCAGCAGGTTGCCCAGCGCGTATCATATCACTCCCGGCGTTTGTGTCACCGCCGCGCGCAAAAGCCATGCATCGTACACGCATGCTCCAACTCCTTCGAGCTGTTCCCCTAGATCAAGCGCGTGCGAGGGAGGGCCAGGCACAGGCAGCGAGGGCGAAAGGGCGAAAGAAGGCCCGACGAAGAGATCAGCCACGCGCCAGGCCCCCTGGGGGGGCGGCTGAAGCAACCCCTGCTTCATCTGTGTGTGTCTCTTTCCTCCTCTCCCTTTCGCTCTTTCGCCCTCGCTGCCTCCCTCCCTCTCTCCCTCCCTTTTCCTTGCTCCCCCTTGTGTTTCCTTCTGTTGTGTCCTTGTCCCTTCGCCTCTTCCCTTGCCACCCTCCCCACACATGTGTATAGACAATCCTTTCTTCCCGCTGGCGCGTTTCTTTTCATGGTGTGATGGTGCGCAGCGTCCACAAGCACGGGGGAGGGGAGGGAGCGCAAGCAGCCAGAGCAATGGTGTTGTTGTATGTATACAGGTGTATTTAGAAGAGAGGGGGAGGGAGAGAGAAAAAAAGGCAGGTGCAGCAGAGCACTTGCAGGCCTTAGATCATCGCAACATATGCATGCGTGTGTGTACGTGTGTGTGTGTGTGTGCGCGAGCGTGGGTGGGTGCATTTGCGTGTGCGCGTGCTTGCTCCAGCAGAGGCGCGAAGGTCGCACACGGCCGCGCGCGGCGCGGACTCAGCGAGGGAGAGTATGGTAGAAGTCCAGTGCTGGCGCATGGCCGACGCACGCACACGCACGCGCACACCGGGATGGCGCGGCGGGGAGAGGCAGCAAAGCCGGAGGGCGGAGGGACTGTCTAGGTGTGTGTCCCCCCTGCGCGCTCCTCTTTCCGGACAGGTGGCGGACAGCAGCCCGACACGGCCGGGCCCGAGCCCTTACTTGTTCGCGCGCCAGGTCTGGCGCTGGCCCTGCTGCGCCTCGTGGTCGCGCAGGATCGTGTCAATCATGTCCGGGGTGAGGGTGAGCTGGCCATCGGCCGCGCTCTGGGCCAGGACCTTGGCCTGGATGGAAATGCACAGCTTCGACAAGGACCGGCCGGAGAAGCCCTCCGTCTCGCGGGCAATGCGCTCCAGGTGCTCCTTGGTGATGGCGCTGTGATCGATGCGCTGGCCCTTCGGCGAGACATAGTCCGCGATGTACTTGTGGAAGTACTGGTTGACCAGCTTCACGCGGGAGTCCAGCTCCGGCAGCAGGAAGGGCACCATCTCGTCCATGCGGTCGTGCACCGCGCTATCCAGGTGGTCCGGCTGGTTGGAGGCCAGCACAACCATGTGCTTGTCCGACGCCTCACCGGTCAGGTAGAGGAAGGAGTTCAGACTGGCGCGCAGCTCCTCGGAGATATGGGACTTGTCGCGCTTCTTCAGGAAGGCTGGGCATGACAGCATGGCAGGGGGGGGGGGGGGGGGGGGGGGGGGGGGGGGGGGGGGGGGGGGGGGGGGGGGGGGGGGGGGGGGGGGGGGGGGGGGGGGGGTCAGTCCATCATGCGCGGATCCCCGCCTTGCGGAGGGCGAAGAAGCCGGCTGGGGCAGGCGCGGCCGAGCGACCGGGCGACCGAGCAGCAAGAGCATCGTGGCGCACCCTCAGCCTCGTCAATGAAAATGAGAGTCCCATTGCGCGAGGTCTTGGCCCAGTTGAAGAGGTTGTGGAGCTCCGTCACACCGGACGTCCCGAGAGGGACAATATCACCGCCCGTGATGAGGGCATACTCGAGGCCACTCTTCTGGGCCAGGCTCTTGGCGAACATGGTCTTACCGGTACCCGGGGGGCCATAGAGCAGGAGGTTACGCAGGGGGGCATTGTTGCGCTTGGCATTCATGGTCGACACGACGATGGACTCGAGGCGGGCCTGCTCCGACTGGTTGAGGACCATGTCACGCAGAACGGCCGAGGACTCCGGGCGCTTGGAAATCAACTTCCGCGCGAAGACCAGCGGCTTCTTCAGGGCATTGGTGCGAGAGGTCTCGCGCACCAGCACCGGCGCATTGATGCGCAGCATGACATACTCGCGCAGGACCTTGGCACCGAAGTAGGAGGCAAAGCCACCGGCAAACAGGAGCGACGTGGTGACAACCGCCGCGCGGATGCGGTTCGGGTCCGACAGGAAGTCGCTCAGCTCATCGGAAATGAGGGCAATCCGCTCGCGCGTCAGCAGCAGCGCCGTCTTGCGTTCCTCCTCGTGGCGCAGTCGCGCATGGGCGGCGCGGATGTCATGGTTCACGCGCTCCTGCTCGATGCGCCCCTGGGTCTCGTGCTGGATTTTGGACATCTCGGTCTCGCGGCGCATTTGCTGCTCCATCTGGGCCGTTTCGCGGCGGGCCTGCTCCTGGCGCTCGATCGAAGCCTCCTGCATTTGGAGGGTCTCCTGCTGGAGCTGCTTGCGGGCGGCGATCTCGCGCTCCTGGCGCTCGTGCGCCGCGCGGTCCTTCGTCTGCTGCCGGTGGTTGATGTGGGAGGTTTCCATCTCGATGGTCTTGCGCCGCTCCTCGTGCTCGATCTGAATGCGACGAGCCTCCAGGTCCCGCAGGCTTGCCATGGCATCGGCGCGCTCGGCCTCAAACTGAGCCCGGCGACTGCGCTCGCGCTCCAGCGACAGGGTGATGGCATCGCGCCCGTGGGGGCTATTGTCGAGTTCCCTGTGTGTGTGAGGGGGGAGAAGGGGGGGGGGGAGGGAGGGAGGGGCAGCATGGCCGGAGGGACAAGAGTTGGGGCAGCGAGGAGGGGAATGGGGGGCGGGCAGATCAAGGTCAAGGGAGGTTAGGCAAGATGTTCTACAGCCACCGAGGGCGCATGTGGTCATTGTGGATGGGCATGCATGCATATGTGTGTGTGTGTGTATGTATGCATGTCGATGGGTGTGCGAAACAGCCATACACCCGAGAGCGAGACGGGGGGAGGGGGTGTGTGTGGGGGGGGGGGGGAGAACGCACTTGGCAGCCTCGGCGGCACGCACGAAGGCCTGCGAATCGAACAGCTGGGTGGGGCTAATGTTGGTATTGGTGCTGGAGTTGGTCGCGGTCTCGGCCGGAGCGGCAGCCGGGGCGGCAGCCGGAGCGCTGCTGGCGTTGTTGCCGGAGGGCTTGGAGCCGCCGCCACCGAAAGCAGAAAACATGGTTGCTGAGAGGGGGGAAAGGGATCACCCGACTGGGGTGGTAGGCAGGAGGCACAGCACAGGAGTGAGACGATGAAGGGTCAAGGGAAGGGGGGGGAAGAAAGGGGAAGGAGCGGGAGGCAAACAAACCTTGGCTAGAGTCAGAGAGGGGAGGAGAAAAAGAGGCAGAGGGGTAGGGGGGTGGAGGGGGAGAGGGGGTGTGTCCGCTTCGCGCCGGACAGCGCCCATCCCCGGGGCTGCTCCCTTTTTCCCCGGTGCCCGGGCGCGAGAGCCGCGCCAGGGGGGGCGAGTCATTCTGAGGGGGAGCAGGGGGGGGGGAGGGGGGGGGGGGTGGACGCGGCACCCTGAAAGGCGCGTGGGCACGCACACACACACGCACACACGCACACGCACCGGGCGCACCCGGCCGCCCGGCGCGACTGCCAGCTCTCTGCCGCCAGCTAGAAGACTGTGCTGGAAGTATTCCCCCAGTCACCGGCGCGGCTGGGGGCGCAAGCCGGGCCTTCTCCGACCGGGGGGAGGGGCTCCCTCGCCCCGCCCTCCCTCTGGACCCGGAGGGCCCCGCTGGCTCGGCCCGCCCAACGTGGGCCCACTGACAGCCAAATGGCGGAAGCTGAGCTGGAGAGGGGGGGCGGGGCAGGGCGGGCGGGCAGCGGCCTGTACACGCACGCATGGGTCCCTGCCCGGGCCCGGTCGTGCATTGTCAGTAACCTCGGGCGAAAATGGGCGGGCCCGAAAAACGTGTGCGGCCGCAAGGTATATTGTGCCCCGCGCGTGATCCTCCACCGGGAGGATCACGCTGGGTGTCTGGCAGGGTTCGCCCGCCCCCTGCTTGAGGCCGGCGGGCGCCGGTGATATCACCGCCGCAGGCCGGAGAGAGGTGATGGGCTGCCTTGCATCTGTCCGTTGTGGCAGCGAGGGGCCGCGGAAAGCGGAATGTGATCGCCCCGATCGGGCGGCGGGGGGGGGGGGATGCCGGACCGGGAGGGACCGGCCTCGCCCGCCCCCTGCCCCCTTGGACGGTGAAGGGAGAAAGAGCAAGCGAGAGAGATAGAGCCTGGCCAGGGGGCGCGGGGGCTGCCAGGGCTGGAGGACAAGACGCACACTGGGAGGCAGGCTGTTTTGGCGATCAAAACACCTGAGCCCAGCCGGGCGCCTGTCCCTGTTGCTTGCTTGGGTCTTTGGTTTCCGCCCAGCTGTTTCTCGCGGCCCTCGTTCTTTCGCCCTCGCCGCGGTCGGCGGTTCCCCAGGGGGTGGAGGCCGGCCCGGGCAGCAAGGAGGGCGGTGCGGTTGGTCCACCGGCCCGCTGTCCCCCCTTAATTACTCTCCCCGAGGGCGGGGGAGAGAGGGAGAGGGAGAAACGGAGGGGCGTCTGTTTGTGCCTTCCCGGGCCCGGCATACCAACCGATCGCCCGATCGGAGCTGGTGGGAGAGGGGGTGTCGATTGCGTGTCTCGATCTTGTGTCCTTGCTCGAGTAAACACAAGGACGGTGCCCCCGCGTCACCGGGGGGGGGGGGG